GCCCGGCACTGTCAGGGAATTTGTAAGCATCAGTTTTCTCAGGTAGAAAATGGAGAGAATATTACCACCTCCCAGGAACATTAAATATGCAGACGCAGAAAGCCCTGAGCCCAAGCCCTGGCACACAGCCAGTACCCACAGAGCCAGCTCAGGGCAGCGCATCTCGGGGAGAAGGCCAGCCACAGTGTCCTTGCAGTGATCTCCTGAAGATGGGCCTGACCCCACCTCAATCTCTGCAGGAGACTCAACCCAGGAGGGTTGTTTGGGCTCAAAAAAGATCATAAACTACATGGAAGCCACTGAGTGTGTACAGAGCCCACCTGAATCACGACACTGATACCAGTGAGCCTTCCCTGGCCGTCCCCCAACCCTCCGCCCTCCCTCATGGCAGGTTCTGAGTTAGGGCCTTCCTGGGGCAGAGACGGCACCACCGCTAGGCCAGCTGGGGAAGAACGCTGTCCCCTGAGCAGCCCCCAGGGAGGAGGCCAAGACCGCCTCATGTGGGGGAACCGGGAGCACCCCGAAAGCGCCAGGCAAGAAGGAAGAAAGCCCAGATGGCAGGCAAATCCTGGTGCACCCCGAGTAGAGAATATCTAGCACTCTTTCTTTTTTCTTTAATTTGAAAGGCAGAGTCTCGCTCTGTTGCCCAGGTTGGAGAGTAGTGGCGTGATCACGGCTCACTGCAGCCTCAAACTTCTGGGCTCAAGTGATCTTCCTCCTTTCTCAGCCTCCTGAATAGGTGGGACCACAGGAGCTTGCTGCTATGCCTGGCTAATTATTTATTTATTTAATAATTTTTTAGTATGTTGCCCAGGCTGGTCTTGAACTCTTGAGCTCAAGTGATCCTCCCGCCTTGGCCTCCCAAGGTGTTGGGATCACGGGCATGAGCCACCTGTCCTCTAGTGTTCTTCCTGAAGGTCATTGTTTATTTTCTCATTTTTCTGATGGTCACTTTATATATTACTTTTTTTTTGGCATGTGCTGATTATTCTAAAGTCTCAGAGATGTCAAAAAGAAGGTCTATTGAGAACTTTCTATTTGACCGAAAAGGTGTCTCATAAGAAAACTGTCAGAAGCGGACGTTTAGACGCCGCTGGTTCTGCTGGTGTTGAAACCCAGGAGTGTGGCGAGCCGATGGGAGCCCCGCCCCGGGGCCTGTCCAGGCCTCTCACCAATGTACTGCTGGTGGTGCTGGCTCTGCGCGGCCATGGTCTGTTCTGGGGTGCTGTGGAGGCTGCTGTGGGAGCCGCTGTCCCCAAGGCTGTCCGTCTTCTGGGCTGGCCGGTACCTAGGCCGGGAACACACATGCCACCATGAGGCCTAGCAGCCCTACTGGGGGTGGGCCCAAGGAGTTGGGGGCTGGGCAGGATTCAGTCAGGCATGTGCGTGTATGATGTTTACAAGTTGTGGTCGAATACACACAACACAAAAGTTACCATCGGAACCATTTTGAGTGCACAGCTCAGCAGCATGAAGCACATTCACGTGGCTGTGCAACCGTTACGATCGTCATCTCCAGAACTTGTTCATCTTCCCACACTGAAGCTCTGTCCCCATGAAACACTCACTCCCCATCCCCGTCCCCAGCCCCTGGCACCCCCACCCGACTTCCTGTCTCTGTGAATCTGACGACTCTAGGGACCTCCTAGGAGTGGGGTCATACAGGATTTGTCCTTTTGCAACTGGCCTGTCTCACTGAGCGTTGTGTCCTCAAGGTCCACCGAGTTCTAGCCTGTGTTGGAATTTCCTCCTCCTTTTTTTTTTTCTGAGACGGAGTCTTGGTGCAGTGGTGCCATCTCTGCTCACTGCAAGCTCCACCTCCTGGGTTTACGCCCTTCTCCTGCCTCAGCCTCCCGAGTAGCTGGGACTATAGGCGCCCTCCACCGCGTCCGGCTAACTTTTTGTATTTTTAGTAGAGATGGGTTTTCACCATGTTAGCCAGGATGGTCTTGATCTCCTGACCTCGTGATTCGCCTGCCTTGGCCTCCCAAAGTGCTGGGATTACAGGCGTGAGCCACCCTGCCCAGAATAGAATTTCCTCCTTTTTAAGGCTGAATAATATTCCATCATATGGATGAACCACAGTTTGTTAATGGACACTTGAGAAAATAGATATATATTTCCCCCTAACATTTCTCTCTCAGAAAAAAAGTGAAATTCTTGGCTAGGCACAGGGGCTCACGCCTATAATCCCAGCAATTTGGGAGGCCAAGGCGGGTGAATCATCTGAGGTCAGGAGTTCAAGACCAGCCTGACCAACATGGAGAAACCCCATCTCTACTAAAAATACAAAATTAGCCGGGCATGGTGGCGCTCGCCTGTAATTCCAGTGACTCAGGAGGCTGAGGCAGGAGAATCGCTTGAACCTGGGAGGCGGAGATTGCAGTGAGCCGAGATCGCACCACTACACTCCAGCCTGGGCG